GTGCTCAGTTGTTATTGTAAGGAAAGTGGATGGAAAAACCAGATTGAAAGCTGTTTTCGTGAATTCGAACATAGAAAGAAACAAGGAATTCTTCCAGAGACTTATACAGTGTATATATATTGTCGCATTCCCTTTATTGCTGACACGAAAAACAACATTTGGAGAATAAATTTCTGAATTCTGAATAAAATTGCCTTGTTATCATCTGTCTTTTGTTATTGTTTTCAGAAAATCCAGTTTGAACTTGTTAGGCTAGACTGTCTAGACTGTGAAGAGTGACGTCATAATCACATTCTTTTGAGTCGCTGCCAAAATCGTAGTAGCAGCGTAGTGAATCGTAGTAGCAGCGTATAGCGTATAATGTAAACACAGTGTAAACAGACCCCCGTATTTAGGGGCTATATGTACTGAATTGACCCAGCTATCCCCCACCAGGGGCTGCACTCCCTTGACCCGCCTATCCCCCCACAGGGGCTGCACTCCCTTGACCCGGCTATCCCCCCAGCCCCAAAAGTGCACTCAGTTGACCCGGCCGGCCAGACGCCTTATACTACTCATATGAAGCGGAAATTATTTTAAAAACTACACGAACAGCACGAATAGTTTAATTCACATATATGGTTCATATCATGAGTAATTAATAAACCAATTTTTAAACAATTTCAAACGGTGTGATACATGTAATTGGATGATTTTCGTTTTTGAATGTCAGAATTATTTTCTACATATAGATGTATATTTTTAAAAATGACTTTTTTAAAACAAGAAATATCTGGAAAAATATCGATTCCTGACATTTTACATCATACGAAATGAATGAATGCATTCAATTAAGAAAGTGTTTAGAAAACTAATACTTATTTCAATGCACCTTTTAGTTTTGTTATTGCTCGTTGTCTCCATGCATTAATTGGAAGATATTTTTATTCAATGTATAAATCAATGTTATAATCGGTAGTTTCAGTTCTTTACAATTCCGGGGGGTAGTTCTATCTACTGCAATATCTTCTTTTTTAAACTCTTGTATTTAAATCAAAGGCTTTTATTGTTCTAATAAGATTTTATTTGAAGTCTGTTCGTAGTGCATCACGCGTAGTGTGCTTAGGGGACGACCATTTGATTCTGAGGGGGGGGGGGGCTGGCAAATTTTTTTGAGACGGATTATTATTTTCATGCCTGTCAAGGACAGATTATTTATTTTCAAGATTATCGAGGACAGATTATTTATTTTCTTCTTTGTCTTACGGTACCTTGATCGATTGATTCTAAAAAGACTAATCATTTATATACCATAGGCGGATTCAGGATGGGGGGTGTGTATAACTTCATTCAGGCAAGAGGTCTGGAGCCGCCTTAAGGACCCCAGTGGGTCCTGGGCGAAGCACTGGTGGAGGCCAAGGGAGGGAAATTCCCCAGAAGCTCTTGGGTTTTCGGGTATTTTAAGAGTAAAACCAGGACAATTACAGTGGTATTGGTTATTATGTAGCAAAGTATGACATTATTAAATATTGGTCGTATCATACTTTGAATGAAGGGGGTCCAGGGGGAGAAGCCCCCTGAAGCTCGTGGGTTTTTGTGTGTTTTAAGAGTAAAACCAGGCACAATTATGTAGGAATTGTTAGTTATGTTCCAAAGTATGACATAATTAATCCTACTCATATCATACTTTGGATGAAGGGGGCCAAGGGGGCGAAGCCCCCTGAAGCTCTTAGGTTTTTGTGTATTTTAAGAGTAAAACTAGGCACAAAAATATTGGTATTGTACTAAAAGTATGGCAATATTAATATAATTTATATCATACTTTGAAATTTTAGGGGAGGGGTCATTATATGTATGCCTTCTTTAAATCCGTCACTGTATACTTTGTATTAATTTAACGGGAAGCATAATAATTATTCTTTGACAAGAAAATTTATCTTTTGTGGTGTTTAAGAATTGGCTTGTATTTAAAGTGATTCATCACATCTACTGAGTGCACATTGTCATGTTAATCAACTGACTACAAGTATCCAGTCTGGTAATCTGATTTTAAATATTATTTGGTTCTAAAATGGCGAGCGAAGCGAGCCAAAAAAAATGCTGAATTGAAGATTCTGAGGTTAAATTACACGGAAATAAAAAGGTATTTTCACAGTATTTAAATATCATAAGTCAAAGTCAGATTATTTATTTTCTTTGCAGAGGAGGACGGATTATTTATTTTCAACATTTTCAGGGACAGATTATTTATTTCCAAAATCTGCCAGGCCCCCCCCCCCGCCTCAGAATCAAATGGTCGTCCCCTTATTCAACATTGTCCTTTGTTCAAACTTATCTAAATCATCATATTTAAGATCATACTGTGTCACAAATTATTTCATCTTCCATCATAATGAAATATGTTTGAAAAAGCATTCTTTAAGTAAAACAAATTGACTAAAATACGTAATTTAAATTTCATAATCGATAAAATGCACATCTGTTTGTCTATACATAAAAGATATCGGTTACTTAACTGGGTTAACTTAGCTAGCATAAAACCCATAAGTTTATATGTTTAGTTAAAGTAAAATTCTCATTCTTGTTTTTTTTTTTTTATGAAATCATGAAAAACAAAACTTTTCTGAGTAAATTTTCTCGGCAAAATTAATTATCTATTAAGAAAAATGCTCACAGGGCTTATAGGTCACATGAGTATCATGTCACAACTTTCCAACTTTTGAATGTGGTTCCAGATTTAAGGTATTCAATCCCAAATAGTAACAAATTCAATTAAATTGAAAACATAACAGATATATAGGCATTGAATATTAGGTTTATTTAGAAATGTTTTCCATTTATTAGTATGAGTTTGTATATTGGGATGTGTCCTAAATTATGACCTTGAAGTTTGGTAAAAGTTATCTTCCCCTTTTTTAATTAATGAAAAAAAAAATCAATTAAAAAAATTAGCCGGCAAAAAAATTCTTTTCAATTGTCATTCTATTTTCAATCTTTCAATGCATTTTTCGACCGCAGGATTTATTATACCCCCTGCTTGAAAAGTGGGAGGGTATATAGTAATTTTAATGTCCGTCCGTCTGTTACGCTTTGGGGTACCTATCTCTTATCCGCAACTCTTCTTATACTACCGGGTATTGAGTGAAATTAAATGAAACTTTCACAGAATTTTTATTACATTGCCATTGTGCACCTCCTTTCTTACTTTTTTATTGGACACGTATTTTAGGTTTCCCCTAACAAAACATAGGCATTGCCATTATATTCTTATCTATGAAGTCGTGCATATGGCGGCTTCTGAATAACATTTGATAATACGAGTTATTCCTCTTTACACATTACCGTAAAACAATATAATTATAGTAAAACATGGACATTATGGGAGGCGGGGGTATCATTTAGTGAGCTCATTGCTCACAGCACCTCTAGTTGATATTAAAATTATTTGAATTTTTATTTTGAAAAAAAAAAACACTTTTCCCCATAGATTTAAATGAAATCTTTATTAATTAACTACTGCTTAATTCATGAATTTTTTAAAAACTTTCTCCCGGGCAATCATTTACCACTATTAAATGCTTTTTTATATATAATAGAGACCTTTAGTTACAAGAGATTTGCAACGTGTACGTGTAACCTACACGTACACGTTTACTTCCTCGACGTGAGCTAAAAATTACTTCAGTTACGCGTAACACCGGAAGTGCTTGTAGCAGACGTCAAAACCTCAGGAATGGGAGATTTGAGGTAAACATTAAACAAATTAACTTTGTAAGTCTTGAAGAAAGTTATGAAAGAGGAAAATAGAAATTATTTCTGAATTTTAGCATATATTTAAAATTTAAAAAAATACACAAAACTTAAAAAGTTTTGAAGTAAAACAGGAATTCTATTAATTTTGGATCTTGAATATCTACATGTTTTCATAATTTCTTACTTTTTTCAGTATTGAAAATCTACTTTTCTTGCTTGATGAGGGGCTGTTGAATTTTGACGAGTTCCTCATATTAGAGTCCGAAATAGGTCATACTAAATCCCCTCAGCTAATGCCAGACGGACCAAGATTGAATTTTTCTGCCTTAAGTGATGAACAATGTTTCTCTTTATTCAGGTTATATCTTAATACCTTTGTAAATGAGTAATCATATCTGGCTGTCAATACTTATGATTTTTTTTAAAAATTAGGTTACAGGAGTCCTAATTCTAGTTACTGTAAAAGAAGTTTTTATGTTCCATGTAGATTCAGCAAATGTGATGTTCGGCGTATGATAAATACTTTGAGGATTCCCAGCAAAATTGTGTGCAAAAATAACAGCATAGCTACTGGATTTGAGGCATTTTGTATCACATTAAGAAGATTTGCCTACCCAAACAGATTAGCCGATTTAGTTCCAATATTTGGAAGGAGTGAATCTGAACTTAGTCTCATCTTTAATTCGGTATGAATTATGTCTCCTAATTCTAATACATGTACTAGTACTTTATCCTCGGTCTGTTTCACTTTAATTAAAAAAAAATCTACATTTCTGTATAATTCAAATTATTCAGACGCTGGATTTCATCTATGCCACGCATGGAAACAACTTAAATTCTCTGAATCAGAGATGGATCCAGAGGGGTTTACCAGAATTCACGACAACTTTGGGAAATCTCTGTCCCCTGCCCAACTGTTGGGGATTTATTGATGGTACACTGCGCCCAATTACACGTCCTTCCCGTTTCCAAGAAATCACTTATTCTGGTACTCTCTCCTCTCTCTCTCTCTTTCTCTCTCTCTCTCTCTCTCTTTCTCTATATATATATATATATATAAGTATAAAATATGGTATAAATACTACACGCAGCATGTTTATAACAAGTTTTCACAATCAAAATCGAAAATGGAGAAATGTATGCAAAATTATTACTTTTTTTCAGGGCATAAACGGATTCATGGTTTAAAATTTTAGTCAGTAGTCACACCAAATGGTTTGATCGCAAATTTGGCTGGGCCTTTTAAAGGTAAATGGCACGATGCAGCGGTTTTCAGGGAAAGTGGTCTTGGAGACGAACTTGTACGCTACATGAACTCCCCTAACGGTAAACCGTACTGCTTGTACGGAGACGCAGCTTATGCCGTCAACCAGTATGTACTTGGGCCGGTCAAGGGAATTCGGGTGAGTCCAGAAGAAGCAGAATTTAACCGGCAGATGTCTGCAGTGAGACAATGCGTGGAATGGGGCTTTAACAAAGTGATTCAGACATTTGCATTTCTTGATTACAAGAAAAATTTGAAACTACATGCATACGTCCAGCCTGTCGGAAAGTACTACGCTGTGGGAGCGTTTCTAACCAACTGCCACACTTGTTTGTACGGGAGTCCTACGACGGATTACTTCGGAATTCGCCCTCCTTCTTTAGAACAATATATTAACAACAGATAAAGTAAAAGTTTATTAGCTCTCATTTTTAACATAATGAAAAAAGTTAAATGCTATTAATAAATACTGGCTACAATTAAACAGTTAATAGTTTTGTTTTTTCTCGATTAACTGTCTGAATAAATCAATCATTGCAGTTCTTTCCTCTTTCTCTAACCGGAATCTTTCTTGGTCCAGCTGCTGTTTTTTCTCATCTAAATCCAGCTTCTTTTTTTCTAGCTCAATTTTTTTTTATTCAATTTGTTTTCGCTCTCAGTCTTATGAGTGAGGAAGTCGATCATAGTATTAGATTTTCTTCTCTTCACTGAACACTGACTGTCGTCGTTCTCATCAGAGGTAGCTGAAAAATGAAAAACAATATGAAATTTAAAAAAAAATATTTGTAAACATGAATATAAAAGTGCCTGCGTATAAAAATTCATATATACAAATACCTGTTTTCATGTTTTCGATCGCCCTTTTCCGTATTAATTGCGCTTTTTGGCTTTCATCTTTGCCTTTTTCAGTTTTGAATTTGACCTGCTCAGATAATTCTAGGACTTCCTGTAACAACTGTTCTTTCTCGCCATACTCTTCGTCGGTTCCAGATCTTTGAATGAAAAAGTAACGTAGAGGTTTAGAAAAGTAAATAAAGGCTGGAAGGGGGGTTGGGAGGGCTGGCACAAATAATGTTTGAAAGTAAATGAAAATACAAACATGATAACTGTGATATAACTGCTTGTTTAAAGCTGATGCTTGACAAGAATTTATTTATTTAACAACGTTAACTTAGTTTGTGTACCTGTATAGCTTATCTCTATCATCTGCTTTAAAATATGAAAGAAGGAGACTTGTCCTCTCTCGGCAGCGCCTTCCATCCAGGGCTACTCCTTCATGAGCCATCATAAAATTTTCTGCAATTTCTGCCCACTTATTTACCGAGTCCCCAGAAAAGGGATTAACATTCGACACTTCTTTCAGCAATTCGATGTCATCCTTCATGGAAAAACGAAACATTTTTTTCCTTGACATGCTTTCAGCCTTTAAGTCACTACAAAAATGTTACAACAAATATCAAAAAACTTATTGTTTGTGTCTATCCATATAAATGTAATACAGTTTCCAGTTTCTTATGAACAGTATCCCCTCCCCTCTTAAATTTCCCTTGAGAAGCCCTATTTTCTAACAGGCCTACCGCGGGTGTGATGTTTTCTTTTTTTATAAAAAGTTAATTTTTTTTAATTTAATATGGAATACATTATTAATGTGTAATAGTAAATAAATTTAGACAAATACAAGTTTCATTGAACCCAGGTGTATATTTGGGGGGCGGGGGGGGGGGGGGGGGGGGCAGTCCTGTCCACAAGCACCTGTGGATCATTTGTGGCTGTTTGTACAGTGCAAAAGATGATGCAGCTGATGGGGGGCGCCGGCAGATTTTAGAGAAAATCTATCCTCGAACCTCGAAGATGTTGAAAATAAATAATCTATCTTCGGCAGGCAAGAAAAATAAATATTCTGTTCTTCACTAGTGCCCCCCCCCCCCTCCCCCCAACACACACACACACCCTCACGAAATACAGTTTTTTCCTTCTCCTTCTTTGGCTTGTTTGAATTTTTCAGTAAGGAAAAAAAAATAAATAATCCATTCTGGGTCATTTTCTTGAAAATAGATAACCTAACTTTAAAAATTTAGCTGGCCTCTCCTCCCAGAAGTCCCCTAAGAGGGATGTGGGCCCAGGGGTAGGGGAGGGGGTGACATGGCAATCGGTCATTTGATTTTGTCTTAAGATTCAACTTAGCCTATCTATTATAGATAAATTATATTTTAACTTAATTCAAATGATAAGTATCATGCGTTGTAAAGACGTATTATTGTGCATATATGTAAAATGCAATCAAAAGGGATCTAGGGATTCAACGTATAAGATCGATATTTTCAGCGTCTAGATAAAATTTCATATCCATTTCAATGAATGAAACAAATATAGTTCTATTACACTACATAGTCTACTTTTAAAATATGTTTGTTTTGATTCAAACGACCCAATATTACTTGAAATATCTTAATATAAACACACAAGTTATCTACTTACGTATAGATCACCCCCTACAAGGTCAAAACGGGTAAATACACGTAAAAAGGACGCGTCATGACTGCAAAAACACATATTTTGATGACGTCATACGTACAGGTTCGGTCGAAACTTGTAACTAAAGGTCTTTATTATCAGAGTATTATGTACTTGACGTACATATAAAGGTATGGAATTTGGTCCCATTAGGGATGGAAATCCTTAAACCAGAGGACATGAAATTTGGTGGCATGAGAGGAGTTGTGGAAAAGAGATGAGTACCCCCAAAGCGTAACAGACAGACAGACGGACAGCTAGACGTACGTACACACAGACATCCCGATCACTGTCTACTCTCCCATTTTTCAAGCGGGGGTATGATAATAGAACTCGTCAACAAATTCTCCCAATTTGCAGATTATAAATTCCTTCAATTCTTTTTATGCTAAACTAGAGGCACTGTGATCAACAAGCTCACAAAATCATATCTCCCGCCTCCCATAATGTCCATGTTTTGCTATATATTGTGTAAAGAGAAATAACTCGTCATATCTGATGTTATTGAGAAGCCGCCATATGTGACGTCATATGTACGAATATAATGGCAATGTCCATGTTTTGCTATGAGAAACCTAAAAATACATGTCGGAAAAAAAGTAAAATAGGAGGTGCACAATGGCAATATGTAATAAAGATTCTGTGAAAGTTTCATTAAGTTTTCTTCAGTGGTATGAGAGGAGTTGTGGATAAGAGATGGGTACCCCAAAGCGTAACAGACGGACTAGTCTGGTCCAGATTTTTAAAAAGAGGGTTAGAAATACCTTCTTACGGCAAATAATCATTATTTGGTCCAGCATAGTTTTTTTTTACCTATTTTGAGTATGCTGAATCCGAAAAAATATGCTGGCCTTCATGAAAATGGCGTTAAAAAGGTCAAAATGGCGGACATTCAATTTTTCTGATTTTCTCTTAATGTCGTTCAAAACAGAGAAATAACCTGTGAAAATCTCACTGAGTGTAATGCAACTATGAAAATGATAATAGATTGTTAATATCATCGCTTTAACTCAGAAAATTTAGTAGTTTTTACAATTAATTCGAATTTTCTCTGATTTATTCGTCTTTATTTTCTATATTCTTCTTTGTTCAGGTTTTCACTTTGCAAATATCCAAGCACTGCAGATTTGTATTTTTCCATCTGCATCTCACTATTCTACAACTGAATGATGGTGCAGCTGTAAGTTATATGTCAAAAATGGCGATTCAAAATGGCGGATATTCATTTTTTAAAATTATTTTTACTGTTTAGGTAGGAGAAAGGATTTGTGGATATCTTATTGAGCGTAGTATAAATATGAAAATGACAATAGAGCACTAATACAGTGAAAACTGTCTAATCCGACACCTGAATAATCCGACACACTGCAAATTCCGACATCAAATTTCTTTCCCATTTTTGCATTTTCTTTGTTTCTTACACTGTGCAATCCGACACCCTGTCTATTCCGACACAAAATCTGTCTCCCAGTGCATGTCGGATTAGACAGGTTTCACTGTATTATTATTTTTATTCGGAAAGTTTGATCGTTTAAATTTGAAAAGTGTTTATCAGCTCAAAATGGCGATTCAACATGACGAACACTCAAATTTTATGAAATACTAATAGCCACACTTCTTAATTCTGAGTCGTTTTGCAGAAAATAAATTTATTACAATTTGTTTTTTTAACTAATTAAATTATGTTCAAATGTTAAATTAAAGATGGAGGATATTGTTGTTACCGACTTACGATTTTTATGACACGGGTCTTTCTTTAATTACTTTTATTATTAAGATTAATTTTCGACATTTTTTCCTTAAGCATCTTACTATTCTACAAGTGAATGATGGTGCAGCTGTAATTCACAATTAAAATTTTCAGAAAATTTCTTTAATGACCCATTCATAAGTTTGCAGCAAACAACCAGGAACACACATTGTAATGTGAGGCTACCATTACATATGCCGTATCTTAATACCACATACTGCCCTGCTTTGTGCTCGCTTTCTATGCATATAAAAAAAAATAGGAAGCGTAATTTCTACTAAATAATTTTTGATGCACGTAAGTGGACACTGAGTATTTGCTGCACAACCTAAAGACGAGGTTTTTTGGAATCAGTTAGTTTTCTTTCACCTCAATCTTTAATTGGCATGTACTACAATGAATGAATTATATTCAATATATATTTTTGTCTGAAGCTCTAGAAAAGACAGATTTATCGCCGAAGCAATTCAAAAGGAATACTAGTAATTGCAGGATTAAATAAGGTTCCAATCACATTCTACATGTGTCTACATGTATCTCTAGAAAGAATAAGCAAACGCAAATCGATATATGATATCCTACGATGATAACTAGAGGTGCAAGAGGGTACTAAAAACAGTACCAGACAATTGTTTGAAGAACTAGACTGCTTTTTCACTTAGTGCAGAATGATTTAACCAATATCACCATATTCCAGTCCATCTTTAACCATCCAATCACCCCTTCCTCTCCCTTCCTTCCACACACAGTGAGCAGTAACAATTTATTTAATAATGGTTGATGGGAGGAGACGGGGTATTGTTTTTCTTTCAAGGTAAATCAAAGTTAAAAGCCAAAGAAATTTCTCTTGGTGCCCTTTTCTTCTGAGTTTTGCCGATTGTATTGATTAGTTCTTTTTATGATATAATAAAAAATTATAAGCAACATTTTATTTTTTCTAGAAATAGTTAAAACAAACTAGATTTGAGAGTTTCCAAATGTTTTCCTCATATTTGACCGTGTTCCAAAGCCTTTGAACCCCTTTCCACCTAAAATCACCCCTAAATCGCTGTCATTATCAATTCGCACTTCCACATCCCTCAGATCACCATCGAATATCACTGAAAAATATCTAATCTTGTCCGACTTTATCGACCCTTTGTACTAGCTTTTGAAATTAGCACTTATAAGAGCTTAGTATTATTCCCCAACATCTATTCCAGCTTTAAATGCTATATGTTCCAGTCTGTCTTCGTAGATTTGGTCTTTTCAACACTCGAGGTACAACACCTTTATGTTCAAATTTTAAAAGTATATTTTGTTTCCCAAAACCTTAAACAAAATGATGGAAAAAAAAATCTTTGATTTTAAAGATATGTAGCTTTCTATTTTGTGACCGTATGGATTTGTTGTCTTTTGGGGTAGAAAGGTCATTTCTTTAAGAAGAAAATTCTCAAACTTCATCATCTGAAATTACATTGTGTGCATATTTTGGTGAGAAAATATATTCACAACATGAAATATTTGTGCATACAGTTGAATTTTTTGACTGAGAATAACAAAATGCAAATGCAGGGGCACAGAATCAGAGCTTGACAATCAAAAACATTTACAGTATATATATATATATAATGCTGGCTTTGATGATTGTTAATAAATTTGCCGATATTTAGATCTTGTATTCAGATTTATATGATTTAATAATCCCTAGCTCTCTTTGGTTGTGGTCCATCATTTTAAAAATCCTAAGTTTTGTTGCATTAGACCTTCCATTTGAACATAAAACATTTTTTCTACACTGGAATAAAAATAGATCAACAATTTCCAACAACCGATATAATTTTAAATTTTTAATTAGCAACCTTCGAACTTCAATGTTAACTCACCTTTATGCTCGGGAAATACTGCTCTTGGGGTAGCTTAAGAGGCAAGTGTCCTCTAAACAGCAATTATTGTATGATATTAGCTTTTTACATGAAGAAACATATGGTGAGACAGGTACATTGTAATAGGTAAATTGTTTTCGGAATTGTCGTCAAAAGTAATTAAAGAAAGACACGTGTCATAAAAATCGTGAGTCAGTACAACAATATCCTCCAACTTTAATTGAACATTTGAACATTATTCTTTTAATTTAAAAAAAACATACTCTTATAAATTTATTTTCTGCAAAGCGATTCAG